TATAAAACTGGAGGGCTGCATTGACAAACAAGATAGAAAAAACAAAAACTCCGGAGAGATGGTAATAAGTTGCCAGATATATAATTTTATTCAAGTGAACAAACGTTTTCGGTTGTCAACCTTTGTCAAATATATATACATATATATTATTAAAAAAAAGAAAGTCTGTTATAATTATTCTGGTTTAAGGAAGTCAATAAATGTTGATTGGAATTTAATTCTTAATCGACTAATTACTCGGGTCAACATTTACGCCAGCTTTGGGATGGCATGTTTCATATATTATGATATAGTTCAACAAGATGCATATGTTGGTCAAAAGTTCTTTAATCAATATGTGTGTGCTGCATTGTGACTTCTGCATGTCTTAGAGGCCCAACCCAACTCGAACCAATTTTAACATTGTTACATTGTTACGTTAGTAATTCTAAAATCTATTCAGTATCAATATGGTCTTTTTATTTTGTTTTGTTAGGCGATCTTGTAGAATTAACTGTGAGGATACTCGTTGATAAGAATACTGCCGCTGCACTGAACTGTGGTGAAGACAAGATTGAAGATATATTAGTTCTCCATCTGGAGAATGGCAAAGACTACTATATATCCTTTCTTAATCAACTTTTTTTTTGTTTGTCAGCTTCTATATGCTTAATGTAAGTTTAGGGTAGGCAACAGTTTACCAGGGGTTCCGATTTGGAAAAAACCACTTTATGAGATCTGTTTAAATGAGAATTCTTAGCAAATCTAATTATATTTTTCGTTTCATGCCTGTGGTGGCTTCCCCGACAGGTGGGGGGGGTAGCAGCCCCCAGCCTCCTCTGGCGCCACCACAGTTTCATGCCGATACCCATCGCCACGAACTACTTAGAGGCAATTGATAACAAAACCATGAAAGTATCATTAATTTGCGGGGGATTGGTTATTTTTCAGTCTCGCTTGCTCACGTAAATGCGAGGAGCGGTCCGATATCTGAGAGACTCAAGCGACTTGCTGACGACTTGGGACCCTTGGTTTACAACCTTCAGATTAGGGTTTTGTGGAAAGTGCTTTTAAGCTCTTCAGATATGTGACTTTCTGGAAAAATCTCAATTCATTCGAACCTGCTTAGATTCACATGTAAAACCATGTAATGAGTAAGGATCTTTCTTTTCAGGGTAATCATCAGATGAGGTGTGCAGTAGGCACAACATAATCCCATCTGGAAAGTGAGCGACACTGCCCATGATGAGCTCCAGGATCCTTCTGACCCGGGAGGAGAGTACCTGCATGGGTCCCGCCTTGGGTTACAGGTTATTAAATAATTTTAAAAAATTTAAAAAATAATAATAAGAATAATAATAAAGAAGTATGCCTTATACCAACTATGCAAAGATACATGTACAAAACATTATAGCACAGAATATGCTGGTCTCTCTGTCAAAAAACAGTGTATATGTCAACTGATATCAGTCAATGACGGCCTGATGTCCTTATGACAGAGGACGGCTAGCAAAACAAGTAAGTCAACTTTCATGTATTTCTATAAGAACTGATAAATTATTTGCCTTAACATAAATATTTACATCACTATTAATGGTAATTATATTGCTAGTTGTTTCGGCTCATCAATAGAAGCGCTTACTAGAATGCATTGCCCAATACGAGACATGGATCCCAAAGATGTTACAGCGCTGGTATGTACATTAATTAAAGTTGGATTAAACCTTTCATTTCCTCGTAACGTACTTAAAAATTTTTGTTCGTTTTTAACATAGATTAGGCTTCTTTGTTCTTTCTTAACATACAGTAGAAATGTATACAAACAATTGGTGTTTGTGTGTGTATGCATTTAAGGATATAAATAAAACACTGAAAATATTAGTACAGTACTTTAATTTCATCTGTCTGGATACATTCTTGGAGTGGAAATGGATAGGTTAGTGGTTAAGATACTTGCCTTAAATTCCCAGGGATCAATTCCTGTGAGGACAGGACTTTTTCACACGACTGAATAACAACAACTCCCTTCCCTAAGCCTCATAAAGAGACTTCACTGATTGATTGATTGATTGATTTATTTATTTATTTATTTTCCACATAATGAACAAAAACAAACATATACATGATCAAACATATTCAAAAAATCTATGTGGATGGAGACCACAATAAGTTTAAGAAAAACTTTAAGATGTGGCCACCATTAAAATAAAAATAAAATACAAAAACTGAAAAATAAACAGGTAGTCTGGTTTCTATTTTAATACATAAGTTAGAAGCATCACATTATTTTATTTATTAAAGAGGGCCCCTGAATATCAGCCGACCGACTAGGATATGCTGGAAGGGTCAACCTCTATAAATAAGGTTTAAAAAAAAAATTTAAAAAAAAGATCTTTTTACTCTATTTGTAAGACTGGAAACATCACCATTTTTAGCCCACTTATGTCTAGACTTAAATCCATGTATCCTTTTGTTTTTTATATTTCTCATTGACATTTTATATTCATTGTGTTTGATTGCATTGCACCTTATATAGGAACAAGGAAAAAGTGATTTTGATAGTGTGCAAAAGTTTGACATTCCGAAGGAGATTTGGATGATTGTGGATCACCTGTTCAGAAATGGCCTAAAGCAGGTAGTGTATTCAATTAAATTTTTCAATTTTATTTAAAAATTCCAAGTTAAAATAGAAATATTTCATAATGCACCTGTATAAAATGGACATTAAAATTAGTAACATAAAAAGAAGTTTAAAATAATTAGAAACATCAGAAGAAGTACAATAATACACTAAACTGAGAAGGAACGGACACAAGAATATAAAACACAATTCACTCAGACCAGGAAAGAATATGCAAATCAATATAACATTAAAAAATAACGATGAACAACAGCATTATCAAAAGGTAAACAATATAAAAAAAAAGTTGTAAAACAGAATTATTAATTACTGTTATAATTACATATGTTAATATATTATATATGTATTAATATATATCAAGAATACGGAACAGTCCGCACTACAAGTTTGCATGCATTTGCATGAATTCTTAAGGTGTTTTAATATGTGAGAGTTCCTATCCGCCCCATCAATTCATCATCTCAAAATAAAGGATGCATTACATATGCATTCCGTTTACCATTGATTATACATTGTTTTTTTTATTCATGATCTTGGTGTTTACAAATCGATACGGTTGAATTACGTATATATTGACGTGTTACAAACTTCACTTCGTTTAAATAAGATTGCCTATATGGAATCTCTGTACACTGATGATTATATGGAATCTCTGTACACTGATGACAGTTAGGAACTGTCAAAACATGTATGTAGCGTAAGGCCTAGCAATGGCTAGGCCTAATAAAGTTTTCAGGCATTGCCTGAAATGATCGTTCTCAAAAGTATCGTCATATTTTTGAATTTTATTAGTGGTTTATTGTGTCATCGATCATTTGGTAACAATATATATATATATATATATATATATATAAGTATATAGGAGCTTAGAAGTATCCATAGGGGGAAACTAAAACAATGAAGTGGTTAAAAACAGTACCATAAGGCGAAAGTAGTGTCGCTAAGGGGAAACCTTCTCCACAGTACATTAATGACCTCCTAAAATTGCGATCAACTATATATGCAGGCGAATACTTAGATCCACATGATGTAGTTGAATCATTGTAGATTTTCCTTCTGGTCGGTTGAAAACCTATGGTGAGAAATCCTTCTCTGTTGCTGCATCAAAGTTGTGGAATAAATTCTCTAAATTTGTAAGGTGTTTTCTACCTCTTGTCTGGCTAAAATCACATTTTTTTCTCACAATTATAATCTGTTTTGTTTTTGTTTTTAGTCTGTTTGCTTTCGTTAATTCTTGTCTTTGACACTGGATATAAAGGCCTATAGAGATATTGTGTAGTATGCACTATATAAATGCAGGACCATGACCAAGGTGCGCGAATATAATGTGTGCGCGCGTCACACAGAGGTTACAGAACGTTAAAAATATGTTTTTTTTTTACCAACGTATCCCTGCTGGTACGACACGTCTCTCAACGTTTGTATATTTCGTTATACCTTTCGGAGGTTTTTCATTCAATTGCTATACCTTTAAACTTTGAAATAATCAATCTTATCTTATGTCTTAATCATTTTATACGTGCACTCAATAGAGGTACTTGTTTGTCCAACTGTCA